CTTAACCTTTCTTGAACAATTCAGTGATATTTTATTTGTTTTTTATTCATATTTGTGATGTCTTAGCTATAGTGTTTTGTAGACAACTTACGTCTTAATCACATGTTTTGAAAGTTCTCTGATTTTGCAATATTTATTACGAAATAAAAATAAAACAAATCCTACCGTACAATAAATTATTGAATGTAATGAATGTATTCATACAATAAAAAAATATTATATTCATTTGTTATGATACTGTTTTTCTAATTCTAACATTTTGGGTAAGGTTAAAATTCCCCGATTAACATGCAAGTTTGTAATAAAAATATTTACTCTAATAAAAAATTCAAATAACCGTTGTTTTAACCATCTTAAACTTCTTTGCAAAAATGGTAGCTTCTCTTTAATTTGGCCGCTTCTGAATTTGAAAGCTTTTCAAGGATTAATGATTTTGCATGTTTTTGTTAATTTATGATTTGAAAATCAATTTACTATTTCTAATTGCATTGACTATAATGACTATAAGGTTTATCTATAAATATTATCTGCTAATTTTGATACACATGTATAAATTATTTTCTACATCATATAACAAGGACATTAGTATATTGACTTTATTCTTACCATTAGTTTCAGTTTGTCGCATATTGCATCCTGTAGCGTAGTGACAGTTGTCTACAGAACAGTTGCATTTTTGAGCGCAAACTTCTCCGTATGTTGGATATGGACACGACTCCGTACAGTTGGAACCAAAATATCCTTGGTTGCACTCTACATTAGAATTGAAAGCTTTTGAAACTCGCCATTGTAAATCAAATAAAGCAATACACGGTCGCATTTAACGCAGGATAGGTACAAAAAAGTGCATGTATTATACGTTTAAATATTTAAAAAAAGAAACATATTTCATGTTTTGAGTAAATTAAAGATATATGATTTATCCAATCAATTACCAACACATTCATTACTGTCAGTTTGATACCAGTAATTAGTGTAACACATTGAACCATTGTTTCTGTAGAAAATAAATATAAAAAAGAATAACCCTTCATAAAAAGAGCATTATAAGTACAGAATATAAGAACAAGAAATCTATTTATGAAATATTGTACAATAGAGTTTACCCAGTGTTGACTCTTCTTCTTGCTGAAAAGAATTGTTAAAAATATTTTAATGGTAGAAAATGTACTATCATTTGTGTACAAACAAGGTTTTCCTGATACATCGACGCCCCCCAAATGGCAGATTACAGTAAAGGGAATCCGCTCAAATTCAGCAAAGTAGACATCAGCAACTATTTGGCTTCGGGATAAGCTTTTGTAAAACCTCATAACCATCAGCACCAGCAAGCAAGAAATAGATCTTAAAATAAATTTAAAATCAGCATCATCCTACAAACATCTGAGTTTCAATGATTTTTTTTCTTTAATATATTGAGATTAAAAAGGATAAAAACAGGAAATAAAAACTTGCTGAATTGTTTAAATTATTACTATGAAGATAAATATAATTAGATTATAGATAAGGAACTTTAATTACTTGAAAAGGCAATACTGAAATTCAGTAAATCAATTCCGGTACGTGGCATGATGATACTTTCGTAATGCAGTCAAAATTGAAATAACGACCGCTATTGAAATAATTGTTTCAATAGTGGGTGAGAATGCATTTCAAACCAAACAAAGGTTGAACTACTATTGAAATAACGTTCACCAATGAAATAATTATTTTCTATGTAGTGGTCTTTATTTCAATAGAGGTTGCAAAACTTCCTATAGCATTGATCTAATTATACAATAGCATCAGGATAAGGATTACTGGCATTAAATCAATAATAAAAGGAAACATACAAATCAGCATAGATACTGTAACAATATTAGTTTTATTAATGTATGGCAGGGCTTTAAGTTTTTCTAAAGCAAGTTTACCTCCAATGTCAAGATCGAAAGGTTAAAATGTATGGTATCCAATTGAAGGCCTTGTCAGTAGGAATACATAGGTGTAATATGAGAGACCTAATTTTAACAGTTCCAAAGTTATTGTCAAGGGTTTAAGTTCTTTAAGTGTTAGTCAAACTCTGAGGTCAAGGTCAAACTTATTTATACCCATTGAAGTGTTTTACATATGCACTACAATGAATACACATCTTAAGTATGAAAGCCGTAGTACCAACGGTTTAAAATTTATGGTATTTTTTGTGAAAGTCGGTCAAAATCTTTAGTCAAGGTAAAGAGGTCGAATTCAGTGGTACCCATAGAAATTTCTTTTCATGAGAAATAAAACTATCATTTAAAAAATATATGGCTCCATCTACTCAAATGCTATCGATAATATTAGAGTTCTTGCGGACAAACAGAAAAAAAAGTAATTGGCTGATAGATAGATAGACAGACAGACAGTAGAAAAACTATATATCCCGAGATTTTCGGTTATGAAAGAAAAAAATGCAGCAAAATCAATATTTCTATTTTCTTTCATTTGTTTGTAAATTGACAAAAAATATGCCGTTCAAGTGTTTTGGAAAAAAGTAAGAAAGTGGGAACCGTTATATATTTACAATTTTTAATAACCTAGAAATTCTTAAAAATAAATCACTATGTCAGCTATTATTTTATTTCAATACTCTTCTTATGCTTACCTGAGCCTTCGGGATAGCATCCTTTGGTCGGATGACAATAAGCTGACGTGCAGTTACATTTATATCTGCAGAGCTCTCCAAAGTAGGGATATGGACAGACCACTGAACAATTTGTACCGTAGTACCCATCTGGACATTCTGAAGCGTTCCCCGAATGTAACTATTACTATATTATATCATATATTATATTATATGCAGTGTAACAATTACTTAACATTATATTGCAGTGTACATGTTTGTATTTGAAGATAATCTAAAATGGTTAAAAGTTCATTTATTGACTCACTCAAACATCTGTTGAAATAGGAATCATACAAATAACCCATGCAGCATTTATTCGGATCTTCTTTGCTGAAAATTTAAGAAAAAATCAAAAATGTATTGAAAATCGTTATACAGTAAATTATAATTTATTATAATTATTATTTTAATACGAACAAGGATATTGCCAGTTATCGGATATAATGAAGTTATTTTGGATCCCCAACTATATAAAAAAAATCCTTATACTTTGATTTATCGGATATAACGAATAAGTAGGGATACAGCGAAGAAGTTTCATAAGTCCCAGTGGGTTTGCCATAACCAATATTTACTGTTGGTACTATTATGCGTGATTTATGTGATATTTTTCAATAAATTGTTGACTGACCTAAGTAATAAAAAAAAAAAATAAATAAATAAAATAAAAATCTTACCTTGAACAATTCTGACTCCAACTTGACAACACCTCTATGCTTAAAATTAACAATGAAAATTGAATGCATTTGCATTTTGGATACTTTAAAGACTTGGATTTATACATTTTCTATGCGGTATTGAAGCCCCTAAATGAAAGTCGATCTAATATTTTTCAGAGCCTAAGGATTTTCAAATGTTTGATCCTCAAGAAAGATTCCATATCAATTACTTATTGATAATCATAAATACACATTGTACTCTTCACGTGTTTTCATTAAATTAAATAAGGACGTAAATAAACTTGTACAACAGGGCGAAAAATATTAAAACTAAAAACAACAAGGGTATTCTTAGAATATGACTGCTATGATTGAAATATAATAGCGCTGTTGATGCATGCATTTTAAATATATTTAAAAAAAGAAATATTGGAGCAATGAATCATTGCCATTACATCTTGTGTTCCAAAAAACGAATGGCTTTCATTAAATGTATGATTCAATACTCTCTTTTACCATTAAAGTGTATAAAGAATTTCATAAAAAAGAAACTTTTTTTTATACTAACAATTAGATAAGTTATATCATCACCTGTACCTGATAGATTGCCACATCTATTCCTCTATAAATTACACGATTTAAGGTTTAAGCCTGGTAGGTGTCTCTCCAGAGCGCCACATTGGTTTATGTATCAAAAGAAGGGAAGAAAAGAGGGCAAAGTAGACCAGGAAATTACAATCTCTAAAATTTAGGCGGTGGTTTTCAAACTGAAGTATTTAATTCTTTGGTTATCTGTATTCAAAGCTGTTTAATCCTGCTTTTACTAACTCAATTATAAACACGACTTTTTTCTCCTTTTATAGAAGGCTTACACTAAGTCTTCTTATAAATTTCAATCAAAATTGTTTTATGATATAGTCAACTGTGTATAAATGTAGATCAATTGCATGAAGCTGTTATCTTACTTTCTGGATCACCACACTTTTGAATTTGACTGATATACTTCATACTAAATTTTGGGCCTTTATTTTTTATTATAAATTATATTTATTTATAATCGTTTTCCATATCGATAGGTAAAGCTTACAGGAGTGTCATATCCACAGGAAATATTTACTCCTCCTAGGTACTTGAAACACCCTACAGATTATCCAGGTATTGTGTTCTTAGGTTTCTATGTTCATAAATTTGAAGTATTCGGATAGACCACACTATTTGTTATTTTCAATTGTTTTATAATGAAATATTTTTCGTATTAATTTGCAGAACGAAAAGTTAACAGTATACTCTATAAAAATGAAAATCACAGTTACGCATGTTGGAAAAGACTTCTAACATATCTGCATATATCTGGAAGTTTAAGATGCTGTAGATAGCTGTATAGTGATTGTATAATACAAACATTTGATATGAACTATAATTATAAGCAAAGAAGATATTTCTAGTGCATTCTCACAAATAAAAATTACTTTTTCTTCAGAATTTATTTCTAAAGACTTTCATATAACTTTTTTCTAATAAAGTTTGCATAATTCTAAATCAGGACACGATTAAAAAAAATGCATTATCACGTGATCGTACAAAAAGTAGGCATAATTCCATTTAAAACGCTTATGGACATGTTTATGTGTATATTGATATAATAACACAAGAAGGATATACCATAATATAACTACTAACTGAATAATTCTGTTTCACAGCATTGGACACAGTAAACATGGTCATCTTGAAAAAGACAGTCTTATTACATGTGGCATCATTACTCATACATAGTGGAAATCCTAATTGTTACAGGTAAGTACGGCTAATTTCTACATATGAAATTCAAAATAAAAATGTAAAGGCCTTTGGCAAATATTTAAGCATTGGTATGATTTTTAGGGAATCAACTTATTAAATACTTTTTCCTCAAAACTCACATTATATAGAGGTGAAAGAACGTGTTGTATTGGATACTACTGGAATGAAAAGGAACACTCTTGCAAAGGTTAGGGAATTGATTGCTCCAATCTTTTTATTGAAAAATCGAAACTACATTAGTCAATAACAATATTAACGAGGCTAGGGGGTGGCAGCCATTTTTAGACTATTTCAATCTCCTTTAAAAGGAGAGCTCCATATAAAGATTTACAAAATGATAAAATTTTAAAACTAAAATATATGAATTTTTTCTTTGCCAAATGATAGTTGACAGCAAAATATACCGTATCTAGAAAAAATAAGTTAAATCTGGTGGTTAATTTGGGATTAAATTGTTGACCCTCCAGCCTCCTTAACACACTTTAACGTAGCCGAAAAAGCTTAAGATCTGCTTTCTGCTTTATCTTCATTGTAAATTGTATCAGGTGCATTGGTACTTACAGTATAAAGATTTTGATTTTAGAATGTGAGCTTGGTCATTTTGGTCAAAACTGTTCAAAACTTTGTCGATACCCTAGTTATGGTAAGGGGTGTCAGAATATGTGCACCTGTCCTGAAACATTATGTGTTCCAGCGATTGGTTGTGTTGAAATAGACGGTAAGGATTGATGTTTTTTTTTATTTTTAAGTTTAATAATCTGAAATTTCAGTAGGGTAATACGAGTACCTGTATAAGTTTTAAAATATGTAAGACTTGTTACAATGTTTTACGTATGTGTTGAAAACGATGAATGAGACAAGAAGATATTTTTAACAAGTATTTTTGAGACGATGCTTAAAAAACAAAACCAATGGAGTACTTGGTATTATAGGAATGAAAAAAGGAACAAATATTACAAAGAGAGAAACAACTGTAATCTCAAACTCCGTGACCATTGGTATCACCGGTGTCGTTGGGAGTCTTTTTCTCTTGATAGCTGCAATAGTTCTGAAAACAGTCCTTAAAAGAAAACCCGAAGTTAAAGAAGAAAACGCCATTCATCATCTACAAAGCAATACTACTTCTGTTGAAAATAACCAATCATGTTATTATATCCAACGAATGTCAAATGTTTACGATATCATTTCGGAAGATATCGAGACTGATCGAGACACTAAATATACAACAAAGTGTTTAAATGCTGGAAAGGTGACTAATAAAAGTAAAAACTTTGGTACCACAAATGTATATCTAGACACGTGCACCTTATCCCCAGGTGCACAGCCAATTAGAGGATCGAGTCATTTTTATTCACCCCTGTGAAAAAACACTTTTAAAGACGAAAAGAATACATATGAAAAATTATATTAAGGACAATAAAAATAACCACGAATAAATGTGTGTTTTCGTAGAATGTGGAAGAGGAAGGGTGCAATAATAGAGCAGCATTTTAAACATTGTTTCAGGATGTTCCATTGGTCTGTGGCTGGTGAGATTAAACAACCTCTGAATGTCATTCTGCATTAACCACATCATACAAATCCTTTAAAAACCCTTATGTACCGGAATATACTCTCTGCATGTCATGCTTTACAAAAAATTAGGTGACAAAAATGTACAAATTAGACAATCAGTTTTCTTCTATATTTTTCACATTGAAAATGTTTATGTTATGCTCTTAAAACTAAATTTTGGTGCATATTTTAGGGAAAACAAATCAGGATATTCAAAAACAAGATTTATTTTAAAAAACCCACAAAATAGCACTGTGTCCTCCATGTCTTTGTAATGATTTTCTCCGAGAGGAAGAGATATTGAATTGATTTGATTTCTTCCGTTGATGTTTTGGTTTTATAAAAAAGTTTTTCACTCAAAAGCATAAGGCCATTTGCACTAAATATGAGAAAGGGAAGTCAATATAATACAATTTTCCCGAAATCATAAATTTAGTACCACGACCCTTTGTTAGAATAATAAGGAAACCATTTATTGGAAAAAACACTACACAAACATCTATTCCATAAAAACAACTAACTGTTAACTGTAATTCTAAATTGATAATATTTAGGACATTATATTATAATAAATATTTCACAGCTATCTTCATGGCTTTGATCTATATGGTTAGTTGTTATACTTTATATCAATAAGCATTATTTCCATATATGCATGATAATTATGTGATGAAGAAAAGATCACCTAAGTCAGTAGCTTAAGAATTTTACAATTGATCCTTGAATTTATACTTCAGTATTGTTCCAGTATCTTATAATTAAGCATTCGTGGTAAGTTAAGTTTTCATTCTTTTTGCGCCCTAAAAGCATTACCTTTCCCTAATTTGTTTTTCTTTTATAACAATTTCTAAAATTTTTTTTTTAGTTTTCTATTTTTGCTCAGAAAATACTAAAATGTATCATTGAGTCAAATGCTGACTGATGTCGTTCATACTTATTGTTAGTACGCTATTTATACACTGAACTGACGACTGTTTTTCCCGATATTTCCGAATCATGACAAGGAACATACGGGGGATGTGACTGGTTGGCAAGGGGTACTCACTCTACCATGACACCTTATACCACCTCCGATGATTTGGACGATCGTGTTTGCTCTGCTCCCATTTTGTATTGTTTTATATACTTTTGATCTTGAATAATTTGAATACGGTTCGTTAATTCCATTACTTTCATAAATAAGGTAGGCAATGTTTTTTTTAAATTAATTTGACACAGTCAAATTTGTGACACACAGTTTTAATTTTAAATGAGAAAGAATCCATCACTTCAAGTAAAGAGGTACTGCTTTAGTAGCTTTACTACTTAATATGGTGTAGATATTATTCCTCATAATAGTGTAATCTTTTTTTAAGCTAGACCTGGATTGTATTTCAATTTTTTCTCAGTATGCCATTAGAGATCATCACAAACACACACAAACTGAGATTGCACTAGAAAATTTAGTTTTATTAGTATCTAGTATGTTCATGTGTCAAAAAACATGCTAATGACAGAACTAAACATACGAGTAGAGATAGTACATCGAACTTAAAAAAATGGAAAACATTACATGTATGAAAAAAATTTAAAAAATGGAAACACAGTCTATAGCAAAAACATGTGCATGTACATCACTAGTAAAAGAACATAATGCTAGATATATGCAGTTCTTTTGTTTTTTCAGAAACGTAACTGAACATTTTTGAAAGTCAAAAACTGCAATACTGCATGTATTTCAACAAATTTGTGTGTCTAGATAAAGAGAATACAGGAAAAAAAAACTGAGGTAAAATTCATCAGCATATTTTCATGAAAACTATAAAAATTTATGAACAATCATTGTAAAAATTGCTTTTTTTTTTTTTTTTTTTTTTTTTTTTAAAATTACAATACATTTATATTCGTTATAGTTTATAGTTTGCCGATACCATTCCATATAAGATACTGCAAATAATTAATATCAAATATACCTGTAATGTATTGAAATGTCAATAATCATAAGTGATAAATCATAAAAATAGATGCTACTCCCTTGCGAATAGAATTTTTTTTCATGAACTGACAAAGCTACTTGGGTTGCTTTAACTAAGCTTTGCTTATATCCGATTGTAAGCGAGCAGAAGAACAATACTAGGTTAACGTTTAAATCTAATTTACGGGTAAACAAAATCCGAAATGAACGTTTGACACATACATATTCAAAATAAAAAACTTAACGACCTTAACCTCTGATCTTTTGATGAATAGGGATTTTCCTTAGGCCAAAAGGGGTTTTGGTAAAAATGTTAGTGCAAAATCTTAATTTTTTTAGATATCGCACTGAAACAAAAGATCAAAATCAGACAATTTTTCACCTTTTGACCTCAAAATCAATAGGGATCATCCCTATGTCATAGGGAGAAATTTTGTAAAAAAAAAAAAAACTTTATTGCAAAAAGTCAAAAGTTTCTTGGGATATGGCCTGGAAACGAAAGTGTTCAAACTGATGTACAGACATACACACAGTCGTTTGGACAGAGAGACCAACATTTATGTCCCCTACCTTCAACAAAAATCTAAAATAACACGATATTTTCGACAAAATGATCTTGACCTTTGACCTTTTGACCTCAAAATGTATAGATGTCCTCCTCAAGCCATATACATCTATTGTGTAAAATTTCATTTCAAAAGTTCAAAAGCTTTTCGAGATATTGCATGGAAACGAAACTGTAAGAGACAAAAAAGACTACAGACAAACAGTTAGACTGACAGACAGACCAAAACTTACATACCCCACTTTCAGCGGGGGACAAAAAATATAAGAGATTACGTGGTCACACAATTATGGAGTTGGAGAGAGAGTTAGGATCACTTTATAAAAATAGCCCTGTACTTAAATCAATTAGTTTACTATCACCCTTTAACCTATTTTATGTACCAAAATAAAGAAGGAAATAAATGCTTTCATTTTATATATATATATATATATATATATATATATATATATATATATATATATATATATATATATATATATATATATATATTGATATATATATATATTGAAAATCCAGGTATTTTAGAACAGGCTTTGAAAAATTGTAATGTTCTTGAGTTTTGCAGATAACATTGTTTTTATCTGCATTTCTTTCATTTAACTTGACAAAGATAAATTTAGGTAAAAATGGCAAAAATGTGTAGGTCAATTGATTGAAGATCTTAAAATCAACTGAGCGTGTACACTCTCAAGAATGCTTTTGATATAAACTTTAAATAATTGCACCATATTTTTTTTACAGCTACAATTCAATCATTAAGTCCTTTACACATGGAATATATGGTAATTGTGAAGTGTTTATTATATCAAACGCCTGTTGACAAGTTTAAATCCGCATAATATATCTAATAGGCTGTATGAAGCATTTCTGTAAATATAATGATTTAATAGGTGTATTAATTTTAAAAAGTACATTGTAATTGAATTAATTACCGGCATCATAGCGTGAGATGTGAAACCCTTGAAAAAAATTGTATGCGAACTATAACTTTCACTTGGAAATGTCAAAGATAGCTAAAAGAGTACTTTAGAGAAAAAATCATGTGCTTATAACAAATTTTCAAAATTAATATTAAGTTCTATCTTTAAAAAAGGGAACAAAATACGTGAGAAAATGTTGTCATACTATAGATGAGGGATATTTAATAGTTCTCTGAGTGTTTTTTTTTTTTTATCTTTTTCAGAAAACAGAACTCGGAATTTTAGAATCCTTGTCAGTCTAAAGATTCTATAATTTGAGTATATTGTTGTAAAGAATTAAGTACGTTACTTATTATACGGAGGCCCACTATTTTCCGTAATTTAATACACAGGTTTACCAAATTATAAAGTCTGTGTGCATTTACTAGAAGATTGGTTGTTTTAAAATATGCGAAGCAAAATTTCCAAACTCCGTTAATTAGACGTATGTATACACCACGTGTAAAGATCCGTTTTTTTCCGGAAATTGCTAGTTTTCCACTATTTTTAACAGATATTTCTAAAATTGAAGTAGTGCACATCCCTCGAGCAAAATAAAACATGTAAATTTCAAAACATTTTGATGAAAGACGGATGAAAACAGGGATAAGATTTTGCTCGAGGAATGTGCAGTATGTTTATTTTGACTTTACATCAGTATTTCCGGTGGCGGATTGAAAGTT